CTCACGTCCAGTTCTTGCAGCTGAACGGCGTGCGTTCCCTAGGTCATGCCATGCGGTCGAGGCATGACGCATTCATTGCGGCTGTGGTGTCTGACTAAGGTTTACTTCTCACAGCCGAACGGCTCAGTGTGCTCTGCGATCGTAGGCACATATATGGCGTCTGTGTCCCATCTCATCCTGCCGGTAAAGCAATTTGCGCAGTTGGACAGTTAGCAATTCAGCGTACTGATTGTATGTCAGCACCCGAGTGCAGCCGCTCCTAGCTCCGGACCACATCAACAAAACACCCGGTAGAAGCAAACAGCACAAAAACAATCACGGCCTTTGAGGTTACAGGGTCAAAGAGAAAGACAGCGAATGCGTACTCCACCCATAGCGGGAACTCATGAGAGAATTCCACTTGGACTCACATAGGACGGATGTGACGACAGCCGATCGCTTGGGTGAATGGGACAGACACGGCAGGCGGGCAATCATTTGCTGAGGACGCGAACTGACCTCTGTCACGGGGGCTGAGAAGAGGCGAATAGTACACGTCAGCCGAGCCCAAACTGATGACATGGGTGTAATCGTGGCCGGTGCAAGGAGAAAACGTAGGTGAAGGGTAACCTCTGAAACGGCAGCGAGTTGACCACGGTTTAGAAAAATGGTGGCGAATGGGCGCAGTCAAACATTCGCCAGGTTCAACGTGTCTCTGGACAGAATAGGAGTGCGTTGAACTGAGCACACTAGATGAACACCGCACACAGGCCGATTGACGTAGACAGACGGTATAACAAGTGGCAATGGGAAATGAATGATGAGCAGCCGCGGAAACTGGATAGCACAGTATAGCTGATTCTGTGGTTTATTAACTACAGACTTTAAATTGATACGTAGAACTTGCTTTGACTCACAGAGGACTGCATGGCAATAGCAAAGTTTAGTTAAGAGGTATTCGATGAAGGAAAAATTGCATTTTCAAGTCAACTGTGGAAAGACAGTATTTAAGGTAGGTGCGACTGGTGGGGTCAAGAGCGGCCTTCTAATCGAGGGGATCTGCATGGCGTAGCTCAGGTATCCGACTGATCATGAATATAGGGCAAGTGTAATCGTTACAAAAGCAGAGACCAACCTGAGATTTATTCTCAAACACCAGTGAGCCACATGAGTACAATGCTTGGGAGCGATTTGGGGGCATCGGCACCGAGTTTGATGACTCGATAATCGTCGCAAGACATTCTAGGATGCTGGTGAAAGACGATGAACAGTTTGAAGCGGTCTCTTTGTTGCTTCGTACGGAGTTAAACAAATTGGCTGCATGGATCACAAGAGAGCAGGCACTAACTTTCAGTATCGACGGTGTCTATATGTGATGTCTAACTCCAAAGGCACCAGTCCGTATCGGTTTTTTTGGCGATATGGAACGTAGCATAAGCATCTAAGATTATTCGGTTGGCAATGAGGTCACTATTGGCCGGTTAAATAATCATTCGAATACCCCTCCCATTGACCAAGGCGGCAGATACGCTTGTACATCAACTGCCCTCTTCTACAATTACGGCTTCATTCAGTGACATTTCTATGAGCGCTCTTTATCAGTCCTCAGCCGTTCCCGATAGCACTGACTTACTCTATCTTCTTGGCCTTTGACATACAGCAACGTCCTCATCAATCCTAAAATCAATGATCAGTGGTGCAGCCACTCTGATGGAACGACAGTTTAAGTAAGCTAGCAAACGAACCAGGGACCCATCTACTATCTGGAAGAAGCAAGCCAAGAAGGCATGCGAGCTCCGATAACTTCTCCATGGAGCGTTCGAGGTGGCCTTACTGAGACTCAGTTCCATTACCATGTCGGTCAGTGGTGGCTGACATTGCAACAATTGCAACTGATAGTAGTGTTTCGTGAACTGTGAATCAAATGGCTGTTGAACTGTTCGCTGAGCTTGGCAATTTTGTTGCAAACGTTTCGTCACCAATCGAGGTGACATCATCAGTGCGTGGTGGAGTGGCGTGCAATAGCGTAGAGGAGCCTCGGTGAGAGCTACCAGCCTTCAATTCTATAGCCAACTGTGAATCAAGTCGATCATGGAGAAACTTCGAGGTTAGATACCGCCTGACGCATAAAAGTAGTTATGCGAGCATTCATAAAGGCATGATCGGATTTTGGTTAAGGATTTCAGACCGACCGGGAGTTTTTCACCGGTTTATACAATCTGCGACTAATAGGAATAAAAACCAAGCTGATTTTAGGACATCCCGTAGTTTGTTGGGTGTGTCAATGCTAAAGTGGTCAATATTGGTTGGGATGACGCTTGAGAAAAAGTAGCTGAAACCACAGCATGCAAGTGTCCGATTTAATCGTTGAGATGAATGGTTAATTAAATTGGAGAAGTACGTCTCGAGAAAGTAGTAAGGTAGACAACCAAATGTCATGCATCTCCCTATGATACTTCAATACAATGGTAGGTTCTTTGGAGGTTTGCATGTTTATTCACCGACGCGGCTACGTAGATTGTTGATCAGTAGAAATGAGTCTCATAAGCGACTGACTGTTGAAAAAATGGTATTATTCTGGCATAAAGACACCACAGGTTATAGATGCAGTGAAACAACAGACCAAGGTTTCGAATAAGCGTCTTTGATGAATGGTTTTATTTACGCAATAAATCATTCATCCTTGGAGGACTGGCTTTCTTGGTGGGGTCAGCGGGACGGTTTGCCCGGTGATCTGGGGCAGTGCTTCCAACACATATACACGGTAATGAGTTAGCAGAACCCAAAAAGGCAAGTGCATTTTTAAAAGTGGAATCTGTAGAGATTAGATGGGCTGCTCATAAGGACCTGGCCACTGCATGATGGAGATTTTGGCAGGTCGAATGAGAGACACAAAAGTCACTGCTGTGTGCTTGTTAACCACACTACGTCAGATCAGAAATGTCGTTTCAGCAAATGTGGAGAGTGGTTACAGGAACCTTTGGCCCACTGAGACATTAGGCTTTTGCAACCATTTTAATTAGGACGGTTCCGGTCGTAGCTGAATCACCATCGAAGTGGGTAAGATACCGACCTTGGTTAGGCAGAGTTTCGAATACGAGAAACAACCACGGTGAACAATTATTTTACACAAGTCCAAGCTGGTGATAAACGATACCAAGATTAGCTACGTTCGCTAATGACCATGGGACAGCGAATACCGCGGCGCACAGGGACCACTTGACCAAATGAAGCGAAGGTCGTAAAAAGTGGAGAGTAGTGTGACGACTAATCTACTGAGAGGACACTACTGAAATGCGATTCAAATTGTCTTCACAACAAGGGGTGCAAAGTCTAGAAGGCCGGTTGTGCATAGTTACATTGGGGTCACAGCCGACAGATACATGTATGCAAGTGAGGACAAAAATTAGCCGCGATTAGCATGAGCTCCATCTAGCAGCAATGGATGCAAATCGGGAAGCATAATGGAGTGTCTGCTTGGAGTATAAACAACGACGAAGCCCGTGTTCGTAGATTAGAGTTCCTCAACAAGTTTGTAGGACCTAGTGGCGGTACACGTCGACAAATAAGTGTGGATATGGTGGCAGGATGGGCGGAGTTGACAAGCTGCGTTAAGCCGCTAGAGAGGAAACGCGTCCGCAATGAGCGAAGGCAAATGGGGGACGGCTGTTTACCTGAGTTGGAGTGAGTTTACAGGGGATAGCGGATTTGTTGTGTGACAGGCTTATGAATATAACGGCAGATGTGACCTTTAGTGTACAAAATGAAACACCCGCGACCAGAGACAAGGTGAGGGAGATAATAAGTTCGCCAACCCGGTCAGAATTGATAAGTTTCACAACGAATGTACTTCGAAACGAACTAGCTATGAGTCCACAGGCCAACGACTTCAACCCTTTGCAGAAGCAAAAAGGTACAGAAAGGACTTAGCGGCATGTAGCACATTTTAGTGCATGTAACGGAAGATTTCTTGAATCGAATTGTGGTGAAAGGTTACCGGGTTCATCAAAGTGCATCTATTGGGGAATAGAGAGGGGAATTTGCAGGAACGTGTCTGATGAACCTAGCTGTGATGCTGTTACCTTGTAAAACCGCTGCGCTCGATCTACGGGTGCGCATAAGCCGCACACTAAGGAAAGGCATCAGTCGTACGCCGGTACTCAGTACTGACGCTTCGGTGCCGTGCAAGCACCACTGGTCGCACGCGCGCTAAAGATACTGCGAGGGTCGCATAGACCCTACGCAGGCTGGAACTCATGCCGCAAGATTCAGAGACAAGCCCGTTAACTCTAGGTTATGGGCCGGCCAGCACAGGAAAATCCAGACAAAATTGTATGGCGGCACTTAAACAGCTGTAATCACCAGGCCAGAGTGTGATGCAGGATCAAGGAAGTCAACTAGGAGAAATTAGCAAGCCCTGTAGGTGAGAAGTGGTCTACACCCTTTTCGGCTACACTGATCAGACAGATTTTGCAGATTAACCATAGTGGAGGACAAAAGCAGCAAGGTGAAACAGAATTTGTGAGAGAAACAAAATCTCAGTATGTTGAAAATATTGCCCAGCTTGATCAGTTGACCAAAGCCGTTTGCTGCAGCTGTTCGAGTGTACGGCCGATTAGAATCCCTCTAAATCAGCAAAAGTAGCATCATCATAAGAAAAATGCATTATAGCAAGTGACTGCAAGAAAACCCGAGGAAGATACCGAAGGAAACCATCACTCTTGTATGATGTTGAAACGAAACAGAGAAAAAATGGCAAATGCAGGTCACCAGTGGAATGTTGAAGGGGATAATGATGTGGGAATAGTGGAAGCAAGCGGACAACCAGCCAACCGTGAACACCGGATACCGAGACGAAATGACTCTGAAGGAAGTACGTTCTGTCTGAACACACGGAGGAAAGCCTACCGAGCATGTGTATGACTAGCAACTTCGAATCCTAGAGACCAGCACAGGTCGGAAAATGAGGCGAAAAATACCGGAAAACTGGCGCACAAGTGTTGCTAGTCTGGGTAACAATGTGAAGACGCAATACAGGACTTTATTTTTGCTTGAAGATGGATAAAATAACTCCCTTGAGCACAAAGGGAATAAAAACAAGAGCCGTTAACCCGCAAACGGGGAAGTTGTTGAACGTGTATTTCAACGCAACGATCACTGACAGGGTAACTACTGAATCGTTCATCAGAGGCTGTTCGTTTAGAAGTGTGTGTTCATCAAAATGTACACAACCACGAACGCAAAAAAGGATAAAGTTAAGATGAAGTAGAAATAAAATGGTCAAATATCATCTCAAGTACAGCAGCGTAAAAACTTTTCGAAACAGCAGCATGAATAGGCACGGTCTTGATAACAAGTGCAAATGATCAGTTCGGAGAAAAGGTAGACTCGGAACACCAGACCTGCAATATCTGGATCGGGAGGAGCGAAAATATGAAGGAAAAAGATGAAGAAAAGAACAGCCAGTTCGAGAATGCATGCGCATGAAGGTGCACAACAGAGTTCTACAGTTGCGCGGTGGAATTTCCGTTCCATCGTGCCTGTTCATCGTCTGAGTCATCAGGTAAGTGAGATAAGCGAGCCATATTACCCTGAGATGAGAGAAAGGAGAAACCCATTGATATTCACAGAGATGAAAGATATGCACTGAGCGCGGAGCAGATGGCACAAGTAATTGGCTGATAAGACAAGCACATGCCATCATGAGGTGCAAGTTGAGAGAAGCAATCGCATCTAAGAGAACGGATGGCTTAAAAATGGTTGACCTGCGTTGAAAAAATCATTAAAATAGTCAAGCCAAGTCAATAATGTGCTTTATGCATCCACCAAGGTGAACATTCAGCTGCAGCACAAACGCTTTGAACATGGATAACTAGTGAAATAGAATATCACAAGAGGATAAGCATAAAACAGCAGTTGAAAGCTCCAGAATCACAGAAGTAATTTACCCACCAATACTTGATTAAACAAGTATTGGGCACTAAAAAGCGTGACAAACAAGGCACAAATGATGTACCATAGGCCCGTGTAAGGGCATATATAGTTTTGTAAATCTGTGTAGTTGAGAATTCCGATAAACATTCGGACAACGCCCTATGAAGGCGGTGAATAGCATTATTGTGTATTTCAGATACAAGTTTGTCTCAGGAGTTGACATGGACATTATAAGGCTAACAAGTCCTGGTCTTGAAATGTCGCTATATCGAGATACATGTTACATCGACGTGGCAATCACTTTGAGATCCTTAGTCAAGATGCCAGGGTACATCATTGGAGAACCAGTAGGGCAACACGCACGCAGTGATAAAATGTAGGATCAGACAACTATAGTAAGGAGGAAGTCCTGATACAATAAACATAGAACGAGAGTCTCCTAACTTTAGTTAATATTGTGTTTACGTGAAAGAACTACTAATCAATGTCACTTCTAGGTATTTCACTGACTTGGAAGGCCTCATACTTTCGCCATCGATGCGAAGTTATGCACATAGTGTGAGGGAATCCTGGTAGCGATTTCTCTTAAAATGTGCAAAAAGAACATTTCTGCACTGAAGTGTTGTGGTAAGAAGCGAGATTTGAAGCCAAAAAGTGTTTGTAATATGGCCGATGACTCTATGTTTTGATGATGAACACACAGGATTACGTCGTTTGCACATTGCTGTAAGATTGCTCCTCAGAGACGTGGATTAGGTCACATATGTAGAAAATAAAATATATAGAATTGCACCATGAAGAATGCAGGAATTTATGGTAAGTGATGAAGAGTTTTCCTTAAAAACGTGAGAAACTGAGTGCTATTCGTAAAATAATTCTTCAACAGAAGAACAACAGAAGGTTGAAGTCCACAGCCCAGCAAAACAGGCAATAGCCGTTAAAGGATAACGCAACCAAAGGCGCTGCTGTAGTCGAAGTGAGAAATGCCTCATATATTGTGTAGCAATAAAACAATAGTAAAAAAGATACAAAAATGTAACGAAAGGAAACGGATCAAGCTGTTCTTGATTAGCCATCAGTAGTAACGTCGTAATTAGAGGGGAGGCGAAAGAGCGGAGGATAAAAGAAACTCACGTCAACAAATGCTTCCAGATAAACGTGTTTATCCTCCGGAACGCAATCCAAGAGTCGTAGGAAGCACCAAAGGAGGCCAAGTTCGAAGTGAAAGCAGGCACATTAGCTGATGTGTGCTTCTCAGCCTCAGCTAGCGTGTACTGATGATGGTGAAAGAATAAATTCCCCTTGATCAAATCATGGGCTGGCATCTCCTCTTTTTCCACAAAGACCCCGCTCGTGCAAACAAGGCAACCAGGGGGAATCGGTTGACACAATCAACCCGTCAAAGCCTGGTGCGTGAAATAACGGTACTGAGCAGTTCACCTTCTTTTCGTGCACCAGATAGCGAACACATACAACGGGCACGCGATGCTCCAACCAGAGATGTCTCACGCCAGGACTACTCACAATTTTAAGGCAGAGTTGAAAATGTAGCAGTATAAAAGATTGGAAACTTCAGAACAGGAGTGATGTCACGCCGGCGTCACACAAAGGGAAGCTAAGCAAAAGCGTCACAAAATGTTGCTATACGGTTTGTCACTATCTTCTGGCCGATCCCCATCAAAGGTTAGTGGAGGCAGTGGTCCTTGCTAATCTTGGAGGAAAGCTTCGCATTTGAAGGGTTAGCAATCAGTGTTACGCTGTCCAGTAAGGTTTCGCAAGTGTGTGAGTGGTTACAGATTATGCCAACATCGTCGGGAAAATCCGTCAAGAAATCCATTATTTGGAAGCAACTGTACATCTTCCAAGTCGTATCCGGTGAATGCAAGCTCCATAAGCTCATCAATGACAAGATTAAGAAGGAAAGCTGAGAGCGGACACCCTTGTCTCACATTGTCAGATATTGCGAAGGGTTACGACGGTTTGTTATAACTGAACTACGAGTGTAAAGCACTCTCAGAATATTTACCTACTCCTCGGACACAGCTTTGCTGAGCAGATAGTCCCAAAGAGAAGATCAATCCACTGAATCCGAGGGAATCTTAAGGTAGAGACAGGACTACAATGAGTTATCAGTATAAGTAGCAGTGCTCCAGTATCTGGTGCAAACTAAAGATGCAGTATATGCAGCCTCGATTTCGACAAAACCAGAATTATCATGAATCTAGGCTTCATGGGCGCCAAGCAACCAATGAAGTAGGCAACTTGGAAGCGATAGAGATCAGACAGATACCTCTGTGATTACTGCGTTCCGAACGTGATTCTCGCTTGAAAATGGGAACAACAACGGAGTAGCTCCGATTAGCTGAAACCCTTTCCTGGTCCCACTTTCACTGATAAGTTGTACGGAACGTCTAAAGAGGTGGTCGAGAATGTGAAGAGGCATGAAAACCTATTTGGTATGGCGGTCTTATTGGACTTGCGAGAGAGGGCGGATCTAAAGCGATCGACCACTGGCCAACAGCGAATGTGGTACTTCCAATCGATAAAAATTCTCTCTAAAGTGTCCAGCCCAATGCTCCAAGCGTGTTGACAGGTGGCGGACAGACTGTCTATTCTCGTCGTATAAAGCTTTGCTAGCACTAGATCTTTTGCTGCCGGTGCCCCCGTACCAGGCACAATAAGTTCCGATGGATGCCAAGAGTAGCAATTTTGTTCATATCCGGTGCAATATGAGACCACTCGACTTCACGGTCTCTCTTCAGGTCTCTGCCAGTCTCGTTGTGCTCGCTCCCAGTCGGAATGCGTCCGCGCTCATCCAAAAGTTCCAGAATGAGTGGATGCCAAATGCGTATACAGGTAGTTGAAGATGTTGCAGGCAAACATACCTGCTGCTAATCAAGTCTGCCGAAAACCAATGACTAGTAACCGTATTCAGGGGGCACCAACTCACCTGAGATGCCAGCATAATTTGGCACGCACTCAGAAGATCCGACTTCACCGGTTAGCAAGCACCAATATGCTCACAGCGTCGACCTAAAAACAACTGCAGGTCGGTACAAACAAGTGCAAGTGGGAATTCGCCGCTTGCGCTAAAAATCGAGAGACAGTTTGGAACCCAACCACTGACGATGTGTTTCAAACAGATTCGAGGTTGGTGAGCGTTATGCACGTGAGAAATAAACGAGCACCATCACAAACGTGAAACAACCGCTAAGTGTTGTCTTTACGGGAGTCTACAAAGCGGTGGTCACCCAAACGCAGCACATCAGTAAACAATCTTCCAACTTGAGCATTCAATCACCAAATAGCAATACAATACTCGCACCTGTTAGGAGACAGAGGCGTTTGCTTAAGAATTTCCTGCAATAATTTCACTTCACAGATTTCAGAAGAGCAAGAACAAACATTTATGCAGGCTAATCTGAATTCAGATTATTTCATGTCTTCTCAATTAGCGCTTACAGACAAATAGTCGGAAGAGTAAAGGAGTGCAATTGAAAAGGGGATCAGTAAAAAGACTGCGAAAATCAAGATCATCATCCACATCTTACTCGAGCAAGGCAAGGCTGGCCACAACGCCGAGCTGTTTGCAAAGATTAGGCTTCATTCGCCGGATGGCGGAGGTTTCAGCAAAACGAAACAAGCTCACGTTGTTTTGTCTGCTGATAAGCTTGAATGCGTCACATGGGTTTTCGCACAAGGTGCAATCGAGCAGATGCTTAATGATTGAGCTGACAGGAAGTTTATGGCCACTATTTGCCAGGTTCCGTGCAATATGTTCCTAGTTGATAGCCTTTTCTCGGTTCGGCCAATGTACGTGCTGTCGCAAGTACAGGTAAATTGGTAAACATATGAGGCAGTGACCTGAGAGTGAAGCATATCCAAGTTGGATCCGTGGAATAGTTTCTTGGTTTGAGATAACAACACGAGCTCAGCTGTGTGGAGGCGCCATTTTATAGCTTGGCGTAATCGGTCGCAGAATCTTCTGTCATTCTGTTCTCCTTTGTATGGTAACGTGATGAAGACCTTTTTCTTTGGGACATCCACTCACCTTTCTTCCTTAGCAATGTCATTCCCATACCTGGCGATCATCATCATCATCATTACACGTTAGCTGGAGGTGGAAAACACCTCAGCTATTGTGCCGCAATACAAAAGACAAGAAAAGGAAAACAGTGGCACGCCCGCTGAGTCCCCAGTAACGGATGGACATCGTTCCGGAGAGCTAACAGCTGGCTGCCGTAAAAAGAGAATCATATTATGCCTAACAGGTGAGATCGTGATTGGAGGGGGATACTAAACAGGAGGGGGATGGGCAAAGGAAATCACAACACAAACGCCATTGGTGCCGGCTCCGAGCCATTTCAGCAAGTGTGTCCAACGAAACGTGTTCAACCTCCTTAGGACCCCAGCCAGGCAGTCGGGATGCACCAACCGACGCCAACTTCGAAGTGAGGGTTTTCATTTCTCTCGACCAAGTTATCACTTGGCCTCCCCTCCTCCTCTTCCAACCGCACCAACAACGCGCAAACAATGCAGGTCGCGGGAGTCGGTGTGCTGGCATGCGCAACATTTGTTCGGATAGCCGTTATTGCATGGGATAGACTCGATTTATCGTAATTCAGCCTCGATTGAGTCTTCAGAGAATTTTCAGTGT